CCATTTTCCCATTGCTCTTCAAAATCAGTCACAACCTGTGATAAACCAAGAGCATAATATTAAACAAGACCTAGAAACTACATTCAAATCTACCAAAATAATGTCTATAAACTGCTTCTGGATGTTAAACAGAAAGAATTACTACTCCATCTTGCAACTTAGCCTTTAGCCATGATAGTTATACCAAAACATATCAAGTCGGCGCACACTAAATTCTGAATGCTTGATAAATTTATGGATATCAGTTCATTTAAACTGTTCCAAGACTACTAGTGAAACTCTAATCTGCCTAGCCCGCACATAATACTCACTGTAAAATTTTTATGCTCCGCAATTCACACAACTTCATAATTTACTCAAGTTTAAAATAATAAAGTAATATTATAAGTAATACTAAGTGAACCTTTGAAAATATTCTATCAAGATCTTGCAATGGCTCTGTCCTTTGAAAAAAGTATATTAAATACTCCAGTAGGTTTTCCATATATTCTTTATACTGCCTGCAAAATAACAAAGTAAAATGCCGTGAATACATAGCAAAAATATGAGTGTGATACTAATAGAGAGGAAACTCCAAAAGCAGCAATTTGACAATTTTTTTTAACTAGCAATGAAACTAATATTGGAAAAACTTTACCTTGTAAACTTCAGCTTGCGAGGAATTTTATCTGGTTCTGAAAAAACATCAAGGTATGCGGAGTATTCAATTGGTTCTCCAAATTTGGAATTAATGTACTGATTATACAATTCATGCATGTCTAGGTATCGCCCCATTGCTTCCTAAAAACAGAACCAGATAATTAGCAAAACTCAAATTTCTTGGCCTACTAAAGTTCTAAAGCAAATGCAAAACTGCATCAAGGGACGGCACAGCAGGAGAGAGAAAGAGAGATAAAAGGAGATAGCCCTGGAGAATACCTCTCCACTGAACTCAATCACGGGTTCCTCCTTAAGAAGTGCCTCATAATCCTCATTAGCATCAACAACACGAGCAGCAGGATGCTTTCTATGGTATTCACGAATCTGTACATTGAACAGTGCATGAAGATAAGAAGATGTAAGCCAATTCCAAGGAAAAAAATAATTTACCACACACACATAGGACTGGAAGGGCCGAGTAGAAAGAACATTTCACATGCACACATAGGACTGGGATGGCGGAGTTGAAAGAACTTTTCACATGCACAAGTAGGAAGGGAAGGACAAGGTTGAAAGAACTTTTTTTTTAGATAGAAGAAGAAATATTATGAAGGATGGAAAGAAGAATAATACAAGCAAAGGAGAATGAGACATCCTCCCCAATAAGATTAGACATCCTCCGCAATAAGCTCAAAAGAAAACTTCAAACAAATAGTGCTCTACCTTATTTTTGTAAAAGTTAAATCGTGACATCCTCCCGATTTCGGCATTTTTACGCCACGTTTTTACTACAGGATGAAGGTTAATTTTTTTCTTATTTTCTTCATAAATTTATTATCTACCAAATCTTCATCTTTGCTTGATTCACAGACAGATAATTATTGAAATTTGGGGGGGACAAATAGACAAATCAAGAGACAAGAGAAAAAAAACCCCACCAAAAAAAATCAAATCACCTCTTTCAATCTATCATAAAATGCACTAAACACATTTGTCCCAGTTGCAGTTTGGCCACCAAGAGCCGCAATCTCATCCTTCCTTGCACTATCTTTATCTTCATAGATATCAATCTGACACAGCCATAAATAACTATTAGTTTCCTTGTTAAATGGACGAAATCGCAGGAAAGAGAATTTATCGCTGAAAAATGTCACGAAACCATAGGATTCTTGTTTTCAAATGTTTGCCCATACATTAAAATGCTAACAAAAATTGCAACATTCAAGATTTCTATCCGTTTCAGACCACCAAATCAATAGTTCTTCAATTTTACTCAAAAACCATGACTATAGTTATGTTGCATCTTAAGCAAAAAACAGAAGCTATAAAATTCTAGGAAATGATCCATAAGAGTTTCAATTTCAATGCATCAACGCACAGCTGCAAAGGAAAATAGGAGAATGCACATGAATGTCGTTTAAGATATAAGATCAGCTATTCAAACTTCAAAACCTTTGCACTAATTTCTCCGCAAGCAAACAGAGAGACAAAAAGGTAATAGAAAGTTACAAGTTTCTCAGTAGTGACAGTGATGGTATCTATCATGTTACGAACTCGGTGGCTCTGGAACAAGCGGTCCTTATTCGTGGTTGGGTCAGTCTGCAGATCCTTCACGATGAGCCGTTCAAGTCGCTCCATCTCCTCATGAGCCGCACGAGTCACCTCCAGCAGCGTCGACGACATCTTGGCTGGCTCTTTCCCTGCTGTCAGGATTCACGGAAATAAATAATTTTTGTAATTAAATAATCATCCAATTTCAGAATCAAAGAGGAGACACTTATTTTATTAGAAACTGGATTAGACACAAACATTAGCACTTGTAAAAATTCAGAGATTTGGGCAACAAAATGATAGAGAATAGGATGGTACGAGGCACTTAACTGTGGTGTAGACAAGTTATTAAAGACACTAAATTTCCATGCACTAATTTGGTTTCCTAATTAAAGTGCATGTGTGTGACCAATCCATTAGGTGCAATTTCACTAGGTTTGAATTTAGAATTTACAAAATCACTTGGCATAGAAGATGATAAAAACAAATGGATTCTTTCTTAAACCATAATAATTTACAAAACAAATATATGGCAGCCTGATCCACTATAATTTAAGTTTACAGTAAACTTACAATCTAGAACAACCCCCCAAGAAGTGAGAAATATTACTTGTATATATACTGTTATGTCCATCCTCACTTTTAATTTTCTCATGTGTATTCAAATCTACCAATGGCGTCTAAACGGTAGATGAAATAGCGGAAAAAGACATAGAGCAGATGCAAACTACCACATTCATTCCTAAGTCATAACCCAAAAACCAAAACACCAATCTCATAACTTTTATCCAGAAATGAAACAAAAAAGGGCCTAGATAAAATCTGGGAAATGCAACCTGATTTACTACTGTTCCAAAATACCCGTGCCACGCAATTGCAACAGAAGCATTATTCTCATCGACGCGAAAAGGCTGATGCACAAATGGATGCAACCTAATTATTATAGAACAGAAGCAATAGTCTCACTTCTAACAAAATGTTCTTTACGTATAGAGGCCAACAAATGCAATCAGGACTGACCAGGGAATACTGACAAATCACATATGAACCTCCAGGTGCAAACTAACAAATTCAAACACATACAACTAACAGATCAAGCCAAAACTTTAGCATTTCCTTCACTATCTCATTACCCAGACCTGATTAAAGAAAAGGAACAAAAAGCAAGATGGTGATACAGCAACTAGTCAGAAAAAGCTCTCATTTGTAATGAACAATCTCAACCCGAAAATTCAAACTATCACTAGCAAAACAGCTTTGAAGGTGAGAAAGAAAACATACAAACCTAACCAATCTCTCACTCTCGGGTTTCTACAAAAGCAATCTCCATAAGAAGTTTCTCAAAAAGAATAGAACTATACGGAACTCATCTCGACATATCATGCCTCGTCATGCCACTATCTCAAAATGATTACATATTCCGTACATCGCATCTAAAGCTACTGGAAGTTAAACAGGATATATGGAGAGAAGAGAATAAGGTCAATCATGATACTCATTTTAAGAGAAGCATGCAAGAATTAGAAGTTTTAAGGTTTTACCAAATGAAGAGCAAATTTACAAGAAGTGGAAGTTGAATCTCCCACGAGATATTTCGGCTTTGAGGACTTGCCTATATCCAATTTCAGCTGCCTAGAGGTGAAAGAAATAATAATAGAAGGACTGCCAAGGATACCCTACCTCTTTTCTGATTGCTGCACTCTCTTCTGCCGTGTCTCTGCTTCTCCTGCTTTCACTCTCTGCTCTCCTTTCCTGCCTCCCTCGACTTTCCCCTCTTTTCTCTTCCCTTCCTGCTCTTCTTCTTATACTGAATGATCTTTATAGCAGCATGCTCTCTCCTCCTTCCTGTGTGTCCCTTAATCACACCTGTCTACTGCGTCTCTTTCTCCTGTGCTCCTCACTCACACGCGTGAGCCAGAATGCTGTCTCTCTTTTTCTTCTTTTCTCCTTTTTTTTTTTTTGTCTTTTCGCTCTCCCTCTTCTCTCTTCCCTTCTGTTTCTGCTTCTCACTTCTGCCACCTTCTCAATCAATTATCATAATCAGCCGCAACAGCTCTCGCGAGATTCCCACCGACCTTCCTCTTCTGCTCGAGGCGCAGACACCTCTCCACCCTCCTGCTTTGGCGTCTCCCTCTCTCTTTCCTCTGCTTTCTCAGCGGCCGCGAGACGAAAACCCTAAAAATTCTCAGTCGTTCATTTCTGAACCAGAAGGAAGGAAAAGGAGCAGCATCTGAAACGGCGCCGTTTTGGATGCTGGTGAGTTGGTCGAATTGGGCCGAAGTTGGACCTAATCTGAAAATGGGCTGCTGAAATTGGATTAAGTACGACTTGGATTATATAGATATATATATTACTATTTCGAATAATAATAACAATAATAATATTAATTAATAAATTCAAAGTATTTCTGAAAAAATATTAATTGATATAAAAATTAATTTGGAAATTAGGGTATATTTAAGTTTTTTTTTTTAATTTTGAATTACTAATTCAATAAAGAGATGTTATATATTACTAAATTAATATGTACAATGATTACAATAAAATATTAAAACCATAAAATAATGAAAAAACATTGTTAAATTATGAAAAAGTATGTGTATATTCAAATATACGTTACTAACCATATAAGTTTACAAAGAAGTTTTTCCATCAACATAGAAAAATCTTAATACATTATAATAAACCATAATAATGTAAAACAATAACAAATATTTTATAAGAAAATTTAAATATGAAATATCATATGAAAAATATATGGTATTTAGCATTTTTAAAAGAAAAAAACTATACACTTTCCAATAAATTTTCACCAAAATTCAGCATAAGTTTTGGTTGGCATAACGAGTGGATGCAAAGAACATAACAGAACAGAACACCTTGTCTCAATCCTCAAAAGAGTTTCAAAACGTGCCAATAACTAGTTGAATACTGAAATGTGATGGAAAGGAACTACACTGAAAGTAAACGTAATGTTTCGTTTACAATTCAGAACAGATGGATCCAAATCCTTTGCTATGAACTCAAGATTCTTTCAGTGATAACAGAACCTTGCTTCTCAGGGAGGCGAAATTCTCAAAAAAAAAAAAGAAAAAAGATGAGGACATACACTCCTAACCCACGCATATCGTGCGGGTGAATCGAACAAAATGATACACAGGTCTGCGGTCTCACTAGGATTCGGGTGAGCCACCGGGCACCAGCTGCATCAAAAGAAAATTGTTAGCATTGAGGATTTTTCACTGCAAAATCCAAACTTAAACTCCCATCTCACTCACTGCTGTATTTTATTTGGTTATTCTCATCAAACAGCTGCTTTTGCTTTCAATATGATTGATGCGACCAATTAAAATACTTAAGGCTTGCTCAAAAGGGCTCAGCAGACTGCTAGAAAGAACAGATTATTCTTCATATACTTTGCGTAGAGATTGGCTCTGTTGTTTTTGTTTTCTTTTCTTTCCATTTAGGAGGATATCTAATCCCTCTGCCTTTTTTTAAAAAAAATAAATAAATCCCTGTGTTCATTTTTCATTAGAGACGAAGTTTCTAATAATATTATTTTCCCATTAGAAAAAAACCAACTTTCTTTCCATATCAACAAGTGCATAAAATAACTCAGAAGAATATTATACTAACAATGGCAATGTTGTTTCCATTGAGCAAAATCTGATCAAGCTTTGTGATCCGTCTTCCTTCAGTAGTAAGCTCACTGTAAAATTTGGGGGCAAAAAAAAAGATGTTCAGGCATGAGTAAGTTGTCGAACATTGTAGTTAAGAAAAAGAAACATGGACCTACTCCAATTTGAATAAGATCATCTCTATTTACTTTCTAAATTTTGATTTCAGTGAAAGCAAAGGTAAGCATGACTAGCTAGGATTTGAACCTGAGTCTCCTCTTACAACTAGGCCAGGCTGTCACCAATAGGTCATAAACCAAAGACCCCAAAAGACAAAAGCCCTCCCTAACCCCTCTGCTAGCCCAAGCCCTGCTTCTTCTACAAAATCCACCAACCTGAATTTTATCCACACTCCTTATTTTAGGGAACATTATATTGCCAACATATTTACAACAACAACATCCCCTATTGTTGCTCCAAAAAAAGTGGAAATAGTTCAAAGGACAATTATCATTGAAATGGATCCAACTTATACTACCAATCACACGAGAAACCCTGGTTTTGCAAGCATTCTTCAACTTCGATGAAAATTTGCTACGCAGTCTTGGTGTACTTACTGCTACCAGGCTATAATACCACACTGGCAGACTTTGAGATAACTTGAGTGAAAACATCAAACTTAAAAAGGAGAGGCTAACAATTTGAAATTGAAATCCTTAGTGGCATGTATTTATGCAAATCACAATCTAGCTGGCACCATGGTGGGCTAAGCTAGACCTAACAAAGGCATAAGAAAGTTTCAACAATATCAAAGCCACAAAAGCTCCAGTCCTTTTAAGAATTCAGATCCTCGCTAAACTTTCCATGTCGACATAACCCCGTATTTTTTGTTTAAGGGATATCCTGTTTCTACCACAGAGGGTTTAGGGAACCTTATGATATTTTGGATGATCCATATAAGGTTTTTGTATTTGGGTGGCACCCCCTTGGTGCTTTGTTAAAAATATTCTTTCTTCTTCCACTAAACTCAAAAAAGTTTTGAACAATTTATTTCAAAATATGCTGTCCTCATTTGAGATATTTAAATATATAATAAATTACCATGGAACTAAGGCTGTAACATCATTCCTCATCACAATTACCAACAACTCGCCATAATAACCAAAGAGAATATTATAGCAGATAGACAAAAGATTAATCATGTGTATGTTCAAATGTACATATCTAAATCACTAAATCGTGGAAATAACTTATATGAGTAAATGAATAGCAAAGCCCCGAAGCATAAACCATGACCAACTGACTCTAGCACCAATAACTGGCTCACTGAGCCAATAGCCCTGGAACTCAAAATCCAATTTCATTTCTCGATAATTTCCGTAATTAAATATACTTGCAAAGAAAACCTCCAAAATCAAACAAACAACAATTTGATTGTATCCAATGCAACCACAATTAATCAAACCAACCATCCAAAATCATATAGCAACAGGACTCAAATATCAAGAACCACAAACTGCTTAACATAAGAAAAAACATATAAGCAGGAATATATGAAATATCTAGGTTACGTTTGGCAAGAGACATACTATTCAGTGACGTCCTCAAGGACCATGTTCACATAAACGTCAAATCCCCGAAGAGTCCCAACAAGTTCCTTGTCTCCCTTCATTATCACCCATATTTTTGACCCTATGCACCTGTCTATCAGCTCTGCAAAAAGTATTTCCCACTATACAAATAAGCAAAAAGTTATGAACACAGTTCACATAGTGCAATTTTCTCGATAAGCATAAGCTCATGAGGGAAAAATAAATTAAGGACGAGAGAAAGAACTGACCTGATGGAAGCAACTGTGATGGATTATTGGCCATTGGTCACTCTAAAAAGTAGCAAAAAAATATCCTTGCACAGCAAGTGACAAAAGGGGGGTCTTGGCTGCAGACGTCTTGAATAGCAGCAGCTTCTCCTTAAGCTACAATTAGGGGCTGATTTCTTTTAGATTTTGAAAATGAACTGATTAGAAAAACATAGACACTCAGTAACCTAACAATTAAATGACTTAAACCAGCCCCAGTAATCTGAGATGCACTTCTAGTTAGGGTTTCTTTTTCTCTATTGCACACACCACTTGCAGAGCAGGAGACAAGTCAAGCTCAAAAAGGGGGAAATTTTGAGCATAGAACAGGGATTTTTAAGAGCTCAACTAAAAAATGTTGATTAATTAGCTGTGGAGTGATTTATTAACGTTCACTATTTTTCAATGAATTCTGGCCACTTCAATAAAATTTACATATGTTCTATTATATGGCTATTTCTCACTAGTTGTTTTAATGATGTATCATCATGCCCACAGTATATTATTACCTCAAAGAATTTATCGTTGGAATTTTTTTCTAAAGGGAAAGCAACAATTACTACCCTATACTTCGAACTTTATACCATTTAACCCCTTGTATTTTTTATGGAGACATTCTCCCCACAATGCTTCATTCATTTTTTTGAAATCAAATCCTCCCTCACCCAAACTAATTTAACCTCAAACCACGAAGAGAAAATAACATAACTTTGGTACACTTAACACTATACTTGTACTTTTCACAAGAGTTCCATGAATCTTCCAACACAGAATTTTCCTTCTGCATGTTCTTCGAACACAAACCTCCTCGGCGTCCAAGCATAAAACAAGACAACCATCACCACTACAAATATATTAGATACAAATTTAATGGTTTAATCCCTAGTTCACTGTCTCTTCTTCTAACTTTAAAAGAAACGCAAAACCCCCAAATATACCGGACCAGAGTAAACACTATAAAATAAAAGTTCTGATTAGGTTAAAACTCTTTTCTCACAGTCGTGCACCTAAATTTAGCAATTAGCGTATTTCCCTTCACAAAATCTCCCAGCGACCAAGTGAAAACTTACAGCTATTCTAATTTGACACTATGGTTTCACTGCGGGTTGGGAGATTCTAACTCGCACGAAGAAGCTTTGAGGACGAGAGAAGCCACTTACCTTGTTCGGAGCTTCCACTGTGCGCGATAAGAAGCTCTGAACGCAAGAAGCACCGAGTTAACCAAATCTCGCAAATAAAAGGGAAAGAAGCGTCGATTGGATTTGACTTTAGCAGTTAGAGAGAAGAACTGACGCAGAGGAAGAAGGAACCAAATCGAACATAAGCAGAACGGAGGCAAAATAGCCGTTTTGGGAGGAAGAAAGATCTTTATCGTTTAGGTTTTTGCAGAGAAAGAAAGAAAATGAAGCGTACGTAAGCAGCTTGGGAATCATAGGGGTAAAAACGTAATTGCATCTTATTCCACCAATAGAAATATGACACGTGTACTTTGCTATGCATTTACCAGTTGGGAGGGGAAATGTTACTTTTCCCGAAAAACAGTACTTCTTCCTTGCTTTCCTTTTTCCCTCTCTCTCGTTCTCGCGCTCGATCATTCGCATCCGTGTAGCCGATAATGAAGAAGTCTCAGTAATCAGAAAGAAAGATGTGGAACCTGAGCCAGGCATTATCAGGGAACGATGAGGAAACTTCAGAGGGTTTCTTCGATGAAGAATCAGACAGGCTCTGTTCTCTTTCTCCTATGCAGGTACTCTTTACGAGCTCCGCTGCAAATTTTCCTGTTTACTTTCATTTTAAATATTGAGCATTCTGCGATTACATTCTGGATTGTTTTCGGTGTAAGCAGAGACTGTACGCCTTCGGTGCTTGTTCGATCATTGGTGTACTGTGTATGTTTCTGGTATGAACATCTGGCACTTTCCTTTTACCAAAATAACTCGATTCCGATGAACTCTTTGAGAGCAACGATGTATTTGTTTAGAATCGTAGTAGTATTTGGATCTTCAGTGTGTTGAATTTTTTCGAGAATTGTTGATCTGTACCATTTGATTCTGTTTTATTAATTTCATGCTTGATTTCCGATGCCCATTTGTGTTTTTGCTTTCAGTGGTAAGGATTTGGTGAATGAATCTTTTGCTGGGATATGTAGTTAAGTCAAAAGTTGTTGCTAATTGATATTGATCGTTCCTTGCTTTTGCAGTCCCTGATTGCTTTCGCCAAACCCATAAAATTCGCGGTGTTGTTCACATTTGGCAATGTGCTAGCAGTTGGAAGGTAGGTTTCTAATTTTCTTGGGAATTGAAAAGAGTTTTATTCATTTTATTTGTGGGCAATGAGATTTGATATGAGCGTTAAGCTTCTTTCCTTGTCATATGGCTATGCTTGGATTTTTGTCAATGAAGAAAACACGAACCTGCCTAGTTTAGCTGTTGCGGTATCGAGCAATCATTTCTATGGTTTCAACAGTATAAACACCTCTATAAGGGGCTGCTATGACATTTGTTTTTTATAATTTTAAGGGATACCTCTACTTTGGTTTAACTGAACTTTTGTCTTTACAACATTTCTCAGATATTACTTGATATGATATTTGGCAGCACGGCCTTTCTAATTGGACCCATGCAACAAATACATATGATGTTTGATCCTGTTCGTGTTTATGCAACGGCCATTTATATCGGATGTGTTGTCATGTCTCTCATTTGTGCTCTCTGGGTGAGTTAACAATCCTCAACCTTGCTACACAGATCAATGTAATTTTTTATAATATATGCCTTAAACCATAAACATTTAGGGGTGTCCAAAAAATTCTTGGTGACTCACAATGGTGTGAACTAGGATTCCCATGCTTCTTTAGTTTGATTTCTGGGAGGTAAGTATGTGGGACTTTAGTGTTATCATAGACCATTTGATTGATATGTAACTAGTTTGTATTCGGGTGGTACCCCCTTGGGTACCTTGTGCATGATAATATTGTCCTTTTATTTAAAAAAAAAAAAAAAGTATGATGATTTTGTCCTGTCCTTTACTCTTCGAATATTTTGCATTGCTTGGGATTGCTCAATGCTTGAAGCATTCATTTTATCTTAGTTTTCCTTGTCTGCTTTTTGAATCATCGGTATTAGACTTGCCATCCATGATTTTTTATCTCTTGACTGAATCCCTGCTGTCTCTTTTCCGAGTTTCTGCTTATTTTACTTGTTTGAAATATGTCTCAAAACTTAGATAAAAGATCGTTTCATTTTTAATGGCTTGATTGACTATGCTACAACCAGATAGTCATATAATTATAAACTCTTCCTTTCATCCTGCAGATACACAGCAAGATTTTAACCATACTTGCAATCATATGTGAGATCTGTGCCCTTATTTGGTATGCTCGCCTTTATGCACTCAGTAAAATTCTTCTTCATATTTTTCATGATTTACAGTTTACAATTCTGACGTTCAGGCATTTCCAGTTTTATCTCGCAAGATCTCATAGTTGACTTCTCTAGGTCCATGCACAAGTATCACCTTGAAAAGTATAGTAAAACAGTTTATATTGGTTGGTGTTTTGCTGTTACAGGTACAGTCTTAGTTATATTCCATTTGCTCGGAGAATGGTTTCGGAATTGATGATCCGATTATGTGACACAGAGCTTTAACAATGCAACTGGAGGGATGCTCCTGTCTGACAGACCCAAAAGACTGAAGTCTTGTTTTACTATCTTGTTGCTGATCTTCGGATTGGCGTTATCATTATTTTCTGAGTGAGCTTGCAACAGCAGGTGCTGCATATTTCTTTGTTTATTATTCTTGTTTCAAATGATTTCTCTGGAATTCATTCGCACATAAAATCATCTTATCAATCTTGTTGGGGTTGAACTTTGTCAGACCATGTTGATAATGATAAGCACAGTGGCTTAAGCAATAAGCCAAATTCAGTTAAGGATTAGTATGTGCTGGGTGCATTTAGATGGCTCCTACTAACCCTGTCCGAAGTCCAAGCCCATCTATTTTCTATAGTCATCTGACCCTATGCTTTTTTTCCGGATTAAAGCTACTGTGAGAATAAAACTGGTTCCACAATAAGCCATGAAAAAGATTCTCTAGTGAACCCCGCACAGCATTTACTTAGGACTGAGGCCCTCTGATGTTTGAAACTTTGATGAGCCAGTGAGAAACAACCCGAGTAGATAGCTATTAGGCCCATTCCAAAATCAATATCTAAATCCAAATCAGGGAGCACCAAATCCAATCGCTTCTTAAATCCAATCCCCATCAAGTCCTTTTCGGATCACTGTGTCCATGCCACGATACGGTGACTCTTTGTTTGGTTCCGTACCCAACTTGGCTAACTCAGTGCGGCCGCCTCTGTCATCCCTTCCTGACCTGCTCGTGTCACCCCATAACAGTCCAAAACAGTGACGGAATCACCAAGATAAGAAAAGAGAGCTTGATTTCTGTTGGTTTTGCTGAGTAGCCACTGAAAGTGATAAGAGATCTTTCTTTCACCCCCCTGGCGACAAGCCAAATAGTCACCCTTGATGATGAAGTTTGTACCAAAAGACGTCAGCTATCTTATGACGTGGCAGTATATAGTTATAGTCGTGTTGTCTGTCTGTCGACTATCAAAACCTACCGGCCAAAGTCTGTGAAGGTTTGGAAGATATTATCATCCATACGGCGAAAACTATCCATCTAGGTCTTTTTTAATTTACCCTTTCGAGAGATTTCCCATGGAAGCCCATATGCATCTTGACTGCCCGAAGAAGTGACTCCAGTTGATAAAATTAGTGTGTGTATTGTGTGAGAATCAAAAGTTGAATTTCATTTAGTTATATTTAAAATTTCGTAGAAAATTTATTCACATTGGGTAGATCATAAATTCAACCATTCTTTTTCAATTAAAAGAAAAATGAAAGAGTTGGTATGAAGTTGAAAAATTCCATGTTCTTCTTTGTCAGTATCTTAAATTAGGAATTAATATTGTAATTGCATTTTCTTCTATGTTCTCCTTTTTAAATTGTAATGTATGGTCAAATCTCTTGATAAATTATTTTAGGTTATGACTTTTACATGCTTCTTACAATTGTTAAAATTGAAAATCAAATTATCAAATTTGATTAAATTACTTAACCAAGTGCATGAAAAAATAAATCATTTCTTAGGTGCATATTACTCTAAAAAGTGAAAATTGAACCACAAAACTTAAAATATTAACAACTACATGTTCTATATTTGTATGTATATAATTAAAGCTGTAGCAACTGTATATATATATATATATGTATATTTATAGTTTCATTTTATGTAATTATATGAGTATATAAGACTTAAAACTGATTTATTTGAACAAAAATCTTGTGGGTATATTATGTGACGATGATGACTTTGTTTATATTGCAATACTCAGAGTTTAGTATATTAATAGTATTGTATCGACTGAATTGTGTTGAATCTTAAATAAATCAATTATATTTATAAGTAAACAAAACAATCTGTCACGGTTAGATCTTCTAATTGGGTTAAGTATAACGTATTCAAATTTCGATATAACTTTTTTTATTCGTTATAGAAAGAATTATAATCATTTCAATGATGCAATGTATCATTCCCCAAATCCAAATGCTCTACTTTTGCAAAAATCATAACCTCTTTTTTTTTTTTTTTTTGTCAAACAAGGTGGAATTATTTCGCTTTGCTTAAAGCAAAACAACCTTTTATTTTCCAACAACAAAAACCAAAAAAGAAACTCCCACAGTTCGTAAAGTGAATTTTACTCGTCTCCTACTACTAATTTATACGGACAATAACTTTTGATTTTTTTATATTTAGAAAATAACAATTGATGTTTTACTATACTAATTATTACCAAACATGTAATTTAAAATTACAATTTTATTTTTTAATTTAAATAATTACATTTATTTTTATAATATATTATTATACACAACTCTTTCATCATTTTTTTAAATTCCAAATAATATAATAATATAACTCCTAACTCTAATCAAAATAATACTATTTATTTTTGATAAGCAAGAAAACCCCTTTTTTTTTCTTTCTTTCAATAATATAATTTACAAACGACGCGTATTTAATACTCTGTTAAAATTTATGTCGAAAATAATAAAAAATATATACTTTATAAATATCAAATTATTATTATTTTTAAAAATTTATTAAAAAATTAAATTTTCATCAAAAAATTTGTTGTGATATTTGTTATTTTAGTTAGCTTTTACTTTTTCACTTCAACATTCTCATCAACCCCACTAGATTTTTGTGGGTCACCAAGTGCTTGTAAAGCATATTTTACCAAATTGATTGTTGCTAGTTACCAAAATTTACTGTTATTTACTGTGAATTGCAAAATTAGGTTTGAGTAACATACCTAACATGATTCTAGAGAAAGTATTTTTGACAGAGTTTATATCAATTTTTTGTAATCACGAATTATTAGGATTAATATAATTTCTTAGACTAAAGAATCGTCTCGTCGCCAAGTTATCGGAAAATGAATTTTTGAGGTAATTAGAATATAAACAAAGTCCGAGTGAAATATTAATTTGATAGAATTTACTTTTACCCGTGTAAAGAATATCATTGATAAATATAGATAAAATCGGATATTACATAACCAAAAATTTTACTTATATAATAATTGAGGAGTAATCAACTGGTTTAGATTATAAAATGAGACAAGGCTTTGAAAATTTAATCCAAATTTGACTTTAAATTGACTGTGAAACTAATGAATAATTATTTATTTGCATTTTAATTAAATTATACTTTCAATTTCCTTTTGAGAATGATAATTATGATTTAATTTTTTTTATAATAAAATTCATATATTTATTAATAAATTATAGCGAATAAAATAAATCTAAATAAAATTAATCTAGAATGATCTAGAACTGTATTGAAAACGTAACTAAATTTATAATGGAAAAAAATTATACGTAATTAACACGTAATTTTTTAAAGTTCTCTCATTTTTTTATTTATGATAATGAGATATCATAATAAAAAATTTTATATGTACTTTTGAAACCATAACTTTATATTATAAACAAATATGTCTGTTAATTTTTTTCTATTAATAATTTAATCAATTATAAAATTAAATATTACAGATCTGATTTTTACACATAAAAAAATTGCACATTTTAATTTAATGTATTAAGGCATAATATATCATTAATCGTATTAGATTATTTTTATATTTATTCAATTAATTTGATAGTCTTTTGCGCACGATAATTACATATATAAATTCGCATATTAAATTTAAAACTCAAATACAAATGATGAATAAACATCAATTATAATTCAATAAAAAATAACTTCGAAATAATAATAGACACGAAAGTATAAATAGACGTAAATTTATAATTTTATTTTATAAGAAAATACATATTAATCATTCATCTAATTAGCACAATTTTAACATTAAACAATTAAAAAAAAAGTCTCTTATAAAAATATAAATATTGTAGTAGTGTATGGACACCCAGATTTTTTTTTTTTTTTTAAAGAAAAATACTGCTTCATATTCTATAATTTACAGATTCATATTCAACCAACAACTTTGTCAGAATTCAAGTTTCTTTCCCATGTTTCATATGATGCACAATATATACTTACATATATACACACACAGATATATATATATATATATATTAAACTCATTCTATAAGTTTTCATTATATATAGTTTATATCTATTTGTAATATATACAAAACAACAGGAGCAATCAAGACAAAAACAATTAGAAAATTCTCACAGAGCACAAAATTCACAAGATCCTCAGAAGAT